ACTTCTATATTTGCTTCCTAATCGTAATGAATCTTTATTCCATTGCCAAGCTCTGAGGCTCATTCAGGAATCTGAGAATTACATCTACAGTTGCTGTGGGCAGTATACTTCAAGCCAATTTCATCTTTAATGTGAGGGATTAAAGGATTGGCTAAGTCAATATTCCTTCTCAGTGAAGGAGGAATATTTCTGTCTGGTTTCATCCTTCTGGATTTTGATGAGGAAGCTTTTGAATATACCTGTCTTTAAAACTCTGCCTTTTGTCACTCATTAACTCTTAGTTGCAGGTGTAGGCTTCTTTATTGAAGTTGATGCAGATTTTTAAGCTCGTGGTAGTCGAACATGCAGAATTCTTAATTCTTCAAACTGCCTGCCCAAGGGTGTGTTTTGTGCTCATGAGGTAGTGATGGGCTCGATGAATAATTCAATGGAAGATCATAAAGGACCGCTGCCATAAAGTTAGAAAATATTCTGATTTTGTTTTTTGTACTACTGGAGATTTTGCATTATTCTTTTGTGATGTTGGCATGACTTTTTAATTGATTTTATGTTATTTTCCATGATGGTAGATACCTTGTAATGGCAGGTGAGCCTTTTTTGGCTGATAGTGGATACCATTGATTATAATACAAGGGGAAGTATAAAAGATCTTGCAGTTAAAAATAAGAACTGAACATATTCTCTAAGGAGGAATATTCTTTCCTGTATCTCTCTAAATGTTTTGTTGGACAGTTGGATGTCTTGAAAAGACTTTTGGCTTCAGAGGCAACAGGATACTTCAGGCAATTCATATGGCTAAATCCCAGAAGAAATTCAGCTCTCACCAGTTGCTGACCATTGCTGCCTGAAATTTCTACCTTGGGAAACATGATGAAGCCTTCATTTCTCTTTCTGATCACTCTTTGATTTTGTTTGGTAATTTGGAAATATTTGTCTTCCATTTAAAACAGGAATTTGTAAATAAGAGAGGAGAAATACATGCATTAGGTAACTTAAAAGTAGTAAAAACTGTACAGGTCTGTTTTTCTGCTACAAACACTGTCAAATTCCTGTGCCTTACTAGGCTACAGAGTTTCATCTGTAGAATTGTCAAGAAAATGGATAACACTGGTTTCCTAAAAATTTCACCTTCTTGCATTTTTAAAAACATTTTTAAACCACTTCTTCTTTTCTGCTAGTCAATTTATCTCATTCTTCTTGTGATGTAATTTGGTTCTCAGTTCTCTTTCTATGCTTCTTTCACTCACTTTCTCTTTTTTCCTTCCTTTTTCTGAACTGCAGTTGTTTTTTGTTTTTTGAAGAACAATCTACTTCAAAGAAAATCAACTCTCCTGTCTTGCTTGTTAATGTCTTTTCATGTCTCAAACTTTTCCTGGCTGCCCCCTCTTGGTAATTTTCTTTCCTTTTTTGTTTTCCTTTTCTTGAGATTTTTGTCTGGATTTGTTTGCTTTTCCCTAAAGAAAAAAAATTAGTTACTGTTATTGACTGTTACACATCATGGTGCTTTTCTGCTTTGCCTCACGGTGATGGGCAGTATTGATCAAAGGACCAGAAGAAGGGAAGAGGATTTAGTACTCCTGTACTGTGAGCTGGTTTTCGTTTTTTGTCTGTATAACGTCTAGCATATTAGAAGCCACGTTTCCATGTTGGGCCTCCCCAATTCTGTAGCTTGGCAAGGACTGAAGAAAGGAAAAACTGGCAGAAGTAGATTCCTAATATCAAAGTAAAGGACAGCCAAGCAGACCAGAATTGAGGTAGGACTGAAGGAAGATGGAATATGAGCCGGCAGTGTGCCCAGGTGGCCAAGAAGGCCAACAGCGTCCTGGCCTGTATGAGAAACAGTGTGGCCAGCAGGAGTAGGGAAGTGATCGTGCCCCTGTACTCGGCACTGGTGAGGCTGCACCTTGAATACTGTGTTCAGTTTTGGGCCCCTCACTACAAAAAGAACATTGAGTTGCTGGAGCGTGTCCAAAGAAGGGCAACGAAGCTGGTGAGGGGTCTAGAGCACAAGTCTTATGAGGAGTGGCTGAGGGAACTGAGGTGGGTCAGTCTGGAGAAGAGGAGGCTGAGGGGAGACCTCATTGCTCTCTACAGCTACCTGAAAGGGGGTTGTGGTGAGGTGGGTGTTGGTCTCTTCTCCCGAGAAACTATAAATAGGACAAGAGGAAGCGGCTTCAAGTTGCACCAGGGGATGTTTAGATTGGATATTAGGAAAATTTCTTCACCAAAAAGGTCAAACATTGGAACAGGCTGCCCAGGGAAGTGGTTGAGTTGTCATCCCTGGAGGTATTCAAAAGACGTGTAGACGTGGTGCTTGGGGACATGCTTTAGCGGTGGACTTGGCAGTGTTAGGTTAACAGTTGGACTTTATGATTTTCAAGGTCTTTTCCAACCTATATGATTCTATGGTGCCAAGAGTTCTCCTGCAATGTCCATGGTTTCTGCTTTTAAGTATTTGTTTCCCCCAAGTAAAATTTAACTACCGTACCTGCCGATTGTGAAATGTCTGGTGGATCTGCAACTCGCTGTGGATATGTGAGGGGGAGGAAGATAATAGGGTGCAGCTACTTCCTGAGCATTAATGATAGACCTCCATTTGAATGAAGGTTGTGTGGGCTTCGTGACTTCCTCACTACTTTCCTCTCCTTGCTAAAATAACTTTTGTGATAGAAACGTGACTCAAGCTAGCGATATGCTCTGTAGACGTACAGAAGCATTTTCAGTCCAGAGCTGTGTGTTCTATTTCTTTCCCTGCTATTGTTTTCACCAATTTATGAAGTAAACATGTCCATTCCCTGCTTATTTCTCCTCCATAAGGTGATAAAGGAAATAACATTAAAATCATGCCCTTATCAGCTGTATTTATAGCATTTTACTTTGGAACAGGATATGAGTCGCAAAGTCGTGAAAAGAGTATTACAAATATAATAATGAATGTTGTAAATCTGTTGCCAAGATTAGGAATGATTTCTCTTTGGGTATTTATAAGAACCTCTTGTTTTTCTTTCCCTTTTTACCGTTGCTGATTCTTACAGAAGATTTGTACCTGTCAGATTTGCCTACAGATATTTAGATGTAGTAAAGGGCCTTCCATCTTCCTTTCTTACAGAAACGTAACGTCGGCTCTGCTTTGTTTTGCACAGCAAATGCTAAAAGATGATGCTTGCAGAGAGTGTGTCTGTGGATCATTTCAAGGCTGCTTTACATATTGATTACTCAAATTGCCATTTAATTTGCTGTATAGCAATACACAGTGCCTTAACTATTTCTCTGGCATTCTTATTGATTGCTGTAATTCTACCTTACATTATATGCATATATGGTGTCACCATTAAATATTTATGTGCTCATGAAATGTTAATACGTCGGGTTAATGTGAAACTCAACAAAATGCATTTGCCAGA